CCGCTTACCGGGCAGGGCCTCCAACGCGTGCAAAAGGCACCGAAGCTCTTCCGCGCGATCGAGGCGATTTTAAACAACCAAAGAGGAGGTCGGGGAATGGGTAGGCTCGGAGCGCATCCACCTCGGCGATGATCAGGTGCCGAACGCGTTTTATTTTATTGACAAGTACGGTCAGGTTTCCCGCATTTTGGTCCCCATCTTGCGGACGTTGAATAGGGTAGACGATCTGATGAAGGACCACGAGCGCGCCGCCTACATCGTGAATGTCTGGGGAAGCGAGAAGAAGGCAAAGATCGCGGTTCTCGGCGATTTTTTCCGCCATGGGTTTGATGGGAGTGGTGGGGATAACATGGAGGATGCCGGGAGCTGTATCGATGGACGTCTGACAAGTGCCTGGAATTGGTGCAATAATATTCGTTTTAAAGCGTTTTATCCGCTTTTTCTGTGGGCCGGATTTAGTTCGTTTGATGGGGAGATGAGTACCTAATAGGGATGTTTTGGGGAGGGGGGGGGGAGGAAATCTGGTGCCTTCATTAAAGATCGGTGTACATGGCTATGGGATTATATATTTACTGTATACAAACACATGCATACATATATACATATATATATACCTATATTAATAATATGTAGTTATATAAAAGCATTGTATAATTTTGATCTACAACACTATGGAGCCTTCCTAGGGTATTGTAAAGATTTGAATAAAAATAACTTAAAGGCACTTTTACTCTTCTCTACGCTTTCCCTTTCCTTGAACTCTTAGGAAAATCTTAAATGGTAAAATATTGGCAGTGTAAAATTCAAAAAAAAATCCTGTATTTGGTGCATTGTGTGTGAAATAATGATTAAATACATTAAAACATGAGGGTGCGATGGTGCAGTCATTACATTCTCTTCTTACATTATACATGTGACTTCTCTTTTCTTCAACAATGCGATTGTACTCATCGGGGTTTAATATGGATGACAGCGATTACTTCCCTCCACGGTCACTCTTTTTTTCCTTGCCTTTTTATGCTAGCTTTTACAGATCTGATCACTTCATAAGGAAGTGCTTTACTGCAATATATATATATATATATATATATATATATAAAGACTGCCCACGCCTTGAGGATGCCGCCTAAGATGCCCAATTTGAGGTTTAAACCCAAACTCGTGGCAAAAAGCAGGCCGCAAACCCCTCAAGACTCCTCTCGCGAAGAGCTCACCCTTCTCCAGCTCGAGCGTCTAAAGCAGGAACAACAACAACAACAACACACCCAACCCCCTCCGTTGGATGCCCCGGGGGCCTCCCCGCAGGACCCGGCGGGGCCAACTTCGCGCCGTGACCCCTCCTTGTCCGCACGCCCCCCCACGACAGCGAATCATCCGGAAACGATCGCCGCGTATCGTGAAAAGGCAACAATTGGAAAAGACGCGCTTTGCCGACAGGCGAATATCGCGTCCTATCCAGATCGCGCCGAGACGTTTGAGGCGAATACGGTGTATTCGATTTTAACGACCCCAGGCGATGCGTTTAATCGCGTGATCTGCCCGGTTCCTTTACAATTACCCGAAAAAGAAAATGAGGAGGGGCAGCCGCAAGCGCCTCCTGCTACCGCGCTCTTCGACGGAACCGCATTTTTGCGCGAAGGCGATAACGAATTAGCGCGCGCCCATCGCGCGAACCTGCGATTTTACCAAAAAAGCTTATCCAAGGAAGCCGCGCTGGATGTTAAAAACGAAGAAAAGGACGAATACGAGATCGGAAAGTCTTCTACCGAAAAGGAGGAGGGCCCCTTGGTGTACATGCAGCTGCCTCGATTTTTTGATAATCCGAAGTTCACTTTAGCAAATCTCTCGCCAGGGAAAGTGGGGGAGCTGAAAGTGTTTAAGAATGGACGTATGGTGATAGATATCGCGGGGGTTTATTACGATGTGTGGGCGGAAGAAAGGGAGGAAGGGATTCATTCGACGGTTGCCATTACGCAACCGTCGTCTGATCCGTTGGATGCGAATTGCAAGCCGAGCTGCTTTGAGGTTGGGAGCCTGGCGATGAAGATGGTTTGCACGCCGGCCGTTGAGGAGGACTAATGCCCCCTGCTTTCTTCATTCATCCGAAGAAGGATAAAAAAGAAAAGAGGAAGGGCAGACAAGTCATATTGCCTATTTAGTAGCGATACATGTGGGATAAAAATACCAATGCGTTGCCATCACTCCGAATGGGGGATCGTGCCGGACCGTGGGTTTGGAATTTCCCATCCCCATCACTCGTCGCCTCAAAAAAAGGCGGTCCGCACTCCTAAACCCCATAATGTGTTAAACTATACCATAAAAAAAAGTATATATCCATATCTATTTATCTATCTCTATATATATACCGATAGGTATAATTCATCCCTCTGAGTGTTTCACGGTACTTTCCCCTCATACCCACTCTCTCTGTGTTGTGACTGGGCCCACGGCGGTGTTGTTCTCCCCGGTTTAGTCCGTCTTTTCGTAGCTTTCTTCAGTTTTTTTTTTGCCCTCGCAAACCCCCCGCAGGATCACACAGGGGGGGGAGGGGGAGGAGTTGCCGCACCGACGTCCATGCCACAGCCCTCGCCGCGGAAGGACAAGTTCTGGCTCCTCGCCTTCCGCGAGCACCTGGCGGGCCTGCGGGCCTTTCCCAACGGCCTGGACACCGCCGACGTGGC